TTGATGTTTTCTATGTTGTTACCTTGTCGTAGCATTGGAATTCTCCGATGCCGGGGAATTTCCAGGTTCCGTTGCTTTCGGGGTAGGATGGGTATCTGAGCTCCCCACAAGGTCCCATCCCAACTTGAATCTCCTGCAGTTTAGAGGAAGAGACATAACTGAAGCTGAGGTTCGATTTTGGAAGATGCTCACTCGGAAACTAGAGTGTTGGTCGACATAATTATTCTTCATTTTTTCTGCTGATCAAGGTAATTACTATCTTTTACCTTCTTCTCCTTTGCTCACTTGTGCTGACTAATTGTTATTGTAATCTTGAGAAATTTTAACTCAACTAAGTAGTTTTGTATATAGTAGCATAAGATTTAATCATCACTAGCTTTCGTAAATTGTTTTAGGAGCTTCTTTCGTAGAAATAGAAGTCGAACGTACCACAATAACATGTCCCAAGTAGTCACGAAATCTCTCCCTAAAGCTCCTCATGTAGTCGGAATAGACCTGAATCGGTGTTCTTCCTCTTAGAACGGGCAACAAATCGGTGCCCAACGATATATACTCCGGGTTACGCCTGCCCGATTTATCTGTATATACGAGATCCGGGTTCTTGCTTATCTCCTCAAGCACCCATGGAGGCAGGGGAATACTGCCAAAATATTATTGATTCATCATTAGCATTTTATTACTTTGACAATTCTCATCCCCAAAACTTGATCATTAGATAAATTGACCCTTTTATTAATCAATTACCTGCAATTGTCACCAACATTGCCTCCACACTGATGAAATGACATGACGACTTGAAGCTTCAAACCGAGCCTCTCGACCATTCTCACAAGCTCGGCATAGCCTTCCCAGTTGTACTTGTGGGGCCCGTTTTTCTCGACAAGTCCCCACCACGCGTCTACCATAATTCCTTCGACTCCAGCGCCTTTCAGGGCCATCAAGCTAGCTAACATGGCCTTTGGTTTGTTCAGATTACCGGCTATGGAGATTGTGTCGAGGGGCAGCATGACGAAAACGGGCACACTCGTTTTTGGGCTATTGTTTCTGTGGGCCCTATGAGGTGCTGACATGGCGTGAAGTTTCTCTCTCTGTTCGGGTGATTTTTCCGGGTGAAAGATTTGAGCTTCTTGTGCCGAGTTCTTTGCGCGCAGCAGATGGGAAGATGGCTTGATTGTTTGTGTGAAGCTAACCGTGCTGGGAAAATCAAAATCGTTGGGAGTTTTGAAACATGTTGTTCTGTTGTCTTTTAGATTGATGAATGAAGTCGAAGAACGAAGTGCTAAGGCCATATTTTTCTCGTTTTTTCTACTTTTGTTTGATGGGAGAAGAATGGATAAATAGATGTAGGAAAGGATGAAGGTTGCAGCAAGACGAGTTCTTTTATGAAGATAAAACTCATGCTCGAGGACAAGTTTTGGCGGGCTCCAGTTCGAAACAGAGAAAAGAAAAAAGTGGTAAAGATCAAACTAGTCGCTTTTGCTTATTCAAAGGGTTCTCTTTAGAACGCGTTTATACGTTCTCCTTCTTAGATGTAATGGCATGAAGCAAATCTTTACCGTCAATTTTGACGCATTCGCATGTTAAAGTGTTTTGGTGAAAATTTGTAAACTGATTTTCGTGTTCGGTAAGCCAGCGCATGGAGCCGGGTGCTTCAAGTTTTACCGTGTGTTATTTTTCTTTACAAGCTGTGTGTATGTTTCAACTGATTTTTGAGGAAAGACGCATCTCAATTTCTAGCTATTCTTTGTTTTCATAGAATCTTGTGACTGTTTATGAAAAAAGGCATGATCTTGCAAGACTATCCCCCTTAAATTCACATTTACGTTTTTTTGTTTTTTTCCCTTCTGATGTGAAAAATGTGCAGCCTACATTTGAGCCGTATTCATGTGATAATCTACGAGTGGCTTTCTTTTGCTGTGATCCACAGACTTTTATTTGCTTGCTTCTTTTCATTTTTATTATGATGGTGACGCTGCAAAGTTGTTGTGGATGCAACAAATAAATAAATAAATAATCTGCCTTGGTTCCTTCTCGGACTGGAGTTTGTGGCTGTAATAAAGTCTATGCTTTGCATTTTTTTCTTTTTTTTTTTTTTNTCAGGCTATTTTTTTTTATTAATAATAATAAATACAAAATTAGAGGCAGATATAATTACGTGTAGGACAAAGTTGCGTCTGTGATCTGCAGACATGATTTGGAACATGTATTACATGTGTGCATTGTTTGGTGTGTTTTGATGACAGTAGCATAAAAATCACTTTGCCCTAATTTGGATATACCACCTTTTTTTATTTAAGAGAATGTGATTGGTTAAATAATTAACAGTTATTAGGGCAACTTTAGTAGTAAAACTCATAAACCTACTTTTTTTTATTCCCAACGCGCCACCTAAGCCAAAACTTGATATTCACTCTTATAAATATAATCATAAACCTCTAAAACAAATTTCATTGGTCCCACATGTAAAAAATTTTTGCAGACAAGAATCACATGGGTCCACATCTATTTCACGCTTTTTTATCGCGTGTCACACACGAGTATGGCCAGTGCATTTGAAATGAGAGAGTTGAGATCACACTGCATTTTTCTTTCTCTTTATCTTTAATTATTTCTTTTATCTCATAGCTTTTGAGGAGGTTTGAGATTGCAACACGGGTTTACTATTTCAAACCTCAAACCTGTGCATTTTAATGGTAAACCTCTCAGGTTTAGATTTTCAAACCTTGCAAAACCTCCCTATTAAAGATGCTCTTAGCTGGTCCAAGAACTGAATTCTATTGGTGCGCTGAATCATGATAAGAATTAAGAAGTGCGGTAGTAATGGAAGAAATGGAAAGAAGCCTATTTCTAATCATGAGCTCTATTTTGATGTTTTTCCAGTTACAAATAGGAAGAAATTCTCAAATATTAATTTCTGCATAAGATAACATGCAGACGAAAGATATTATATAGGACTAAGTATTCGATACATAAAAATTCTTATTCGTACAACTTATGCTTTGTTCTNGAAAACTCAAAATGTAAACAACAGTAATACAAGTCATATTTCCAAGTTCATATACTTTGTGATTAAAAAAAAAAAAATCGTCTCCGTTTTCTACAATTTTCATTAAGATAATATATCTGTCGTTGATATTTGACCATGTCGAGAGCACGTTTTCAATAAATCTACTTAGCAGAGCAAAGAATCATAAGAATCCGAAATTGCAATTACAGCAGTTAGGCAGGCACTGGAAATAGTTTTGAGATATTAAGTCAGATATTTTCAGATTTCATCGATATGTTATTTTCAGGTACTTGGCCAGCTACTAAATGACAAGATTCTCGTAAAGATTTTTTTATATGCCTCCCTTTTTCTCACTTTCTGATACAACTTTGGATCTCAAGATATCCCACAGGCTCGAGCCTAGAAATTATTTTTTTTTTTTAAAAAAAAAATGATTAATGTTTTCATAGTTAAATCATATCTTTGCAAGTGTTTTGACTTTGCAACCTATTGCATTTTTCTGAATAAAACGAAACATAAACTTTATGAACATTCATAATTTACAACCTCTTGTACATACTATATACACGTGAGTGTTTTTGCAAATGATTGTATAGTCGAGAGGTTTCAAATTGTGAATGTTCATGAAGTGAAGCATTTTACCAAGAAAAATAATTGAAGTTGCAAAGTTTAGAAACACATATGGTACAGGTTCGAAACAATGTTTTACCCTGTTCTAATTATCCAAACACTCAATACAGTCATCAACAAATATCAGAAAAGCATATCATAGTACACAATGAACTCAACAAATCTGCTTCATGCAGCATCAATATAACATTTCATAATACACACACCAGGTGATGCAATATTCTCGGCTCACGCATAGACGTCAAAGTATAATTACGATTCTGCCACTGGAAAAGCCGACCCAATTTTGTTCCCGAGACGATAGCACTTAATGTTCACAGGGTAAGGACCGAGTTGAACATGGTTATTTTCTTCTCCAAGGTAGAAGCATAGAGTATAAATAGCAATTTCAAATTCGGGACTCACCCCAATTAGCGTGCTTGAAACCGACTTCAGAACACCATTCCATTCAAACTGAATGGTAAGTAACTGTGTTTCTGAGTCAGGCTGCAAAACGAGAGAGAGAGAGAGAGAGAATAATAGATGATAATGGTCCATATTAGTACAAGTAGCGAAGAAAGAACCTAAGTTTGAGAAAGTTGGGTTATTCGAACATGCTAGCAGTAACAATAGAAGCCGTTCGGTATCAAGTAAAAATATTACTGGGCATGTACAAGTCTACAAGATAAAGAAAAATGACAACTGGCATCCGGACTATTAGTTACTGGGCATTTGACAAGGTTTCATAGACAAAATCTGGTTTCAGATATATTCATGCAAGATTCATTGGAAGGGTTTAGGAAAAAATGCTTATTACTGGCCTTCAAGCTCGTGTATGCTTGTATAAAGCAGGTTTACCACTAGAAGTGTGGAATACAAAAAGGGTGGTAAGAGAAGGAATGGATCAAAGTCAATGAAGCAAATAAAAAGGCCCCTCATTTAAAGAAACTGTACACGGCCAAAATAACTAACATTCTTCCAACTTGCATCCAAAGTTCCATTCCGGGTTAAATTAGGCCCACAATTTAATGATGGAGGAAATAGTCATCGCTTTATGGTGTTTGAATACTCTTTCAATGACTTGACTGAATTGTAATCCATACCAAGTATATCGACAGATGAACATTCAAAAAGAGATGAATGCGCAACATACTTAAATCTGCTAAACGAAAGTAAAGTCACTTACTATCTGGCCACGCCTCCGAGGAAAAATATATCCTTGATAGTCCACCCTCCCTTTTGCCTCTTCTAGATAGAACTGCAAAATAAGAAAATGCCGATAAATATGATATTTTGCAATTATTAGAATAAAATTGACCAAATCACACAATTGCATCTTGATAACATCTTTTATTCTCCAATTATAGTTGCCACTTGCCAATCTAGCTTTTCTTCTCTGTAATAATTGACGATATCAGCATTTGACACCAAACAAACTAATAAATGATAAAAACTTTTCAGATGTCCTTGTTCATGCAGATGGAAGAGTATCTCATTCCAGAATATAAGGGCCAACTGGAATTAAAAATCATGACTCAATTCTGCAACACCTTAATCTTCTGTGTAACTGTCTATAGATCATCCCCAAATGAAAATTCTGTAGAAGAGAAATGTTTAGACAACAACCTGAATCCAATTATGAAATCCAGAGACTTCTTGCTCTCCACGTTTGATTTCTCCAACAAAAACATGTTCAAAAGCAGAAGAACAGCTAGATGTACCACCTCGGCCACAAAGATCAAACCAGAGACTTAACATCTTGTTCTTAAATTCTTGATAATTCCCAGATACAATTCCCTTGGCTAAAAGATACTTGTAAAGATATTTGATTGGTAAAGTTCGGCTGATCTCTTCAATAAATGCTTCTTCTTCTTGTCTCTCTTCCGATGTTACAACTTCTTTATACCCTTGATGTGGATTATAGTTATCAAGAAGACAACAGAAGCGAGAATAAGTGGGCCTCCTGAATATTTCTTCATTCAGCCAGGAAAATAGGCTCCCTTCTGCCATGTCTTCCTTCTGGTAAACCTTCTTTCCCTCACCACAATCAATCTCATAATCCTTTCCAGGTACTAAACGGCTTACATCAAGCTCCCACAGTCTGTTAAGAGCCTCTGAGAGATCAGAAAGCTCTCGTTGTGAGGGATCTGTGTCAGCGCCGTACTCAGCATCACTTGAGTATTCTTGCTCGTTAGGAGGCTTCTTGTAATTGCTCCACTGGTCCCTGTGTATCTGGATTGCAAAAATTGGTAATAATAAAATACCAAACATAAGGAGATCCAAGGAACTTATGAAACAACAGACTAAATGCTTATGTAACAAGCCAAACAGTATGAAATACTGGTATTGAAGAATTTGTTTGGACTAAAGAAGGATATTATCGTAAGAAGCATCAAATATTACAAGTTTCTTGTATTTCATGGTGTCAAAAAGTAGAGCGAAACTAGCTGCTGTGCCATAGTAAGATTTCAAAATCTGAATGGAAATAATGAAATAAGTTCAAGACAGGGTGACAATCTAGTCAGGTATTATAATGGGCAATATTGTTCATCGTCTATTGCAGCTATGTTGTTTTTACATTATTGCCCATTGTCTAATGTAGCTATGTTGTTTCTTCATGTGGTTCTACCTGACTCCTAAAGATTTTTTTTTCCTTTTGATAGAAGTGACATGATAAAATCAAAAGACAGCTATTCTCCTTTAAGAAGCTACAAGCCGAAGAAGTTAGTGCATTAATAAAAAATACATACTTAAGAACTTTACAGCTGAATACAATTTTCTATACGTTAGTTTCTCAACTTGTCAGCATGCATGTAACCGTTCAAATCTCAACTTATGATTGCGAACTAAACAATAGAATAACCAATGGTAAAATGGTATCACCCATATATGAGAGAGTGAGTTCTGATAAATGATGCGTGAAAAACAAGAAGTTATACTAGACCTTGTGTTGCTGTCTTGGATGCTTCTTCCCGACAGTTTCCCAACCATCATTATTTTTGGCTTCCTCCTGTAAGAAAATATAAACAGTAAATGGTAATAACTTTGAAAGGAGCTTCAGTACTTAGAAGGAACCATCCTTCTTAGTAATTATTTTTCATAATAAACTCATGCAATAAAGACATCACCACGAAATCATGCACAGGGTGACATGGTTTTACTATTTAGATCGGATATAGTAAAGACATACAATCATTGTCACCACCAAGTGTGTTCCATCTGGAAGCATCATATATCTAACCTTAGTATTTTAGTTCCCAAAACAGATTATATCCCAAGAATTATCGTGTTCTTCAACATTTTTTCCTATTTCTTCTCCACTCTCTATCACCCAGGCCAGTTGGAACTGATAAACATAAAGATCACAAGAAACAACAATGATAAGATATAGAAAATGTGAACTCCAAGGTTCTTACTCTGCGTGGCGATTTTATTGAATTCCACTCATCATTTCTTCGGTAGCTTTGTTCCTGTGTCATGGGATGATTGGCATCCTGTCACAGACATATAAAGTATGAAAGCAGCATACTTGGATGCAATAAATGTAGTTTATAGTTTACCAAATTGTAAAACTAAAGGCGTGTTAAATTTTAATAGTTGTGTGCAGTTCCAGAAACTTACTTTCTGCTTCATTTCCATTGTAAAACTAAAGGCGTGTTAAATTTTAATGTAGCTATAAGTACATAATACTATACATAGAGGTGTACATAACATTCACATGGAGTGAGGTCCACTTAATTTTTTATTTTTGGTAGGACCCACTTAATGTGAGTGTTATGTACAACTCGATGTACATTTTTATGTACTTGTACATTTTTCTTGTATTTATTGATTATTAAGTAACTTTACTTTTGTTAAAAAAATAAAAAATACCTAATGATAAAGCCAAGTGAAAATAAACGACGGTGGTACCGTGGTAGAGCCGTGTTCGTCAGAGCGAACCGAAAATGGTATAATTCTTCCGAATATTGAATACATGCTTTTCAAGCTCATGATTCTTTTCGAAATGGTAAAACCGTTGTTATACCCGTTTCATCTTTTATTATTCGTTTTCAATTATAAACAACTCCAACAACTGCGGGTCAAATGTAAATGAGTAGTAGTCTAAAAAAAATATTTTACCATGTTATTCATGCTCTCTCAATAGGCAATATTGTCCATCGTCTATTTTAGCTATGTTGTTTCTACATTATTGCCCATTGTCTAATGTATTGTTCCTTCATGTGGTTCTACATGACTCCCAAAGAATTTTTTTTCCTTTTGATAGAAGTGACAGGATAAAAGCACAAGATAGCTATTCTCTTTTAAAAAGCTACAAGCCAAAGAAGGTAATACGTTAATAAAAAATACATAAGAACTTTACAACTGAATACAATTTTCTATGCATTAGTTCCTCAACTTGTCAGCATGAATGTAACCATTCAAATCTCAATTTATGATTTCCATCAGAGCAATAGAATAACCAATGGTACAATGGTATCACCCATATATGACAGAGTGAGTTCTGATAAATGATGCGTGAAAAACAAGAAGTTATACTAGACCTTGTGTTGCTCTTTTGGGTGCTTCTTCCCGACTGTTTCCCAACCATCATTATTTTTGTCTTCATCCTGTAAGAAAATATAAACACTAAATGGTGCTAACTTTGAAAGAAGCTTCAGTACTCAGAAGGAACCATCCTTCATATTTATTATTTTTTCATAATAAACTCATGCATTAGAGACATCACCGTGAAATCATGCACAGGGCGATGTGGTTTTACTATTCAGATCTGATATAGTACAGACACACAATCATTGTCATCACCTAATATGTTCCATCTGGAAGCATCATATATCCAACCTTAGTATTTTAGTTCCCCAAAACAGATTATATCCCAAGAATTATTGTGTTCTTCAGCTTTTTCTTTTTTTCCTATTCCTTCCACACCCACCCAATAAATGTAGCTTATAGTTTACCAAATAGAAAAACTAAAGGCGTGGTAAATTTTAATAGTTGTGTTTAGTTCCAGAATCTTACTTTCCGCTTCATATTCACTATTTATCTCTCACAATGGCAACCATAATAATTTCAATAACCAAGCAAGATGCAAGATCTTATTCGCTTCCATCTTCCAATCTCCCAAAAAATGGAATCATCTCCACATATAAAACTACATGGATTTTTCAATTTTTAAAAAATTTCACGTAAAACACAATCTCAAACATTTGATTTTGGTTGTCAACCTTACACACTACCTTAGTCTGCAATCTCTATGTTATCTACCTTTAGCTTCATTGCCGACCTTTGAATTTCATTTGATCATCCAGGCACAATTACAGCTTTCCAACACAAATTAGATGAATTTTCATTTTTCAACATCCATCATTAAACATTAGAAACAAGAACACAACACCACTAGATCTAACGGGGCTAATAAAAGCACAAAGAGTTACATTTCTTTTGTTCCAAGTTCCAGCGTTGTAATCGGTGTTGGAACTCGAACCGTCACGGTCATCCCCCTCACCAGACACAACCTGAACATTTTAGCAGACATTTTTTCGCTCGGATTTAGTATATTAAATCAGTTGATACCGAGATAATCGGAGAGGATCGTTGCTAACCTGCGCCCAGCTCGATCTGGATCGTTCGTCCCTTTGATCGCGATCGTCCTGCGCGCCGCTCGATCTGGACCGATCGTGCCTTTCGTCTCGATCATCACCACCTCCGATGACGACGTTAACCAGTCCCTTCACTAAACCATCCATTGGAATTTTGGGGCTCAAATTTGCGATGTTGAAAGAGAACTGTTTTGAGGTGAAAATATAATGATAAATGGCGGGGAACGTTGGCCACTTGATTTTATTGCTATTTTATTTTTATGTTGTCCGGTGATGCACTTGCCGACACACATTTTTTCTTTGAGTACATGACAAAATAATTTCAGGTTATAGTTTTGATAATTTGCTTAACGAAATTATTTGAGATTCTATAGATGAATGTTGTAAAAAATTTAACAAATTATTTATCGGGGGTTATTTTGTTAATTGAGATAACATAACTATTTTTGTAATGAAAAATCTTATCAAATTATTTATTTGGGTTATTTTATTAATTGAGATAGTTATAATTATTTTTGTGATGATCATGTAAATCATAATTACAAAGTACAAGATAAATGAAAAATTTTTTGAATAAGATTTTTTTTTTTTCCGAAACGATAGAGAGTATTATATATAAACACACAAATGTGCAAAGATACAGTCACGAGCTGAATAATACAACCAACGGCCGAGAAAAAATGAGAAAGAACAACCCTAACAGGGTAATACCCACGCACTCTCGGACAGTACAGAGGTTGACGGTCCAGACAAAAACACAAGACTTACCACACAGTAGCAGAAAAATAAACTAAGAAACTACTATAGCTAAACGAGTCCTCTCTCAGCAGAGAGAGTGAGAGACCGAAACTGAACCAATGGACGGAAGACGACTTCAAGGAGAAGTCCGAAGCTCGAGAACCACACCCGCCACTGCCAATCTGCCTAGCAAGACGTAGTCCCAGTCCCTGATCTAAACGAAAAGCCGACCCCCTCTCCAGCCGAACGAAACCGAGATTGACCCACAAGCCACCGCCGCCCCGAAACCAGTTAACACCACTAGCCACTTCCAGAATCGCCGGTCCTCCCCAGACTCAGCACCAGAGACATAGGGAGAAGGAAGCAAAAATCAGCCTCAATGCCCTGGCCGCACCGAAGCACCTGACGCGAACCACAACGCTCCACCCAACCCCCATCAACAGAACCCAGCCCAGCTCCACAACAACTCAAAGGATCCGGTGGCCGGAAATCGCAAAACGGAATCTGCGAGAAACCGTAAAAACAGAGGTCAGGTCATCAGAGAATGCAACGAGAGGAGACGCCACGAGCCACACCCAACCGCAGTTAACGCCTCTGTCCCAGCCCCTCCACCCAAGAACGCCGACAAAGTGCGGGCACCAACCATCGCCGAGAAATCGGAGATAGATCGTCCTCGAACATCCACCCACACCCCTCGGCCAGAGGAGAAGGAGAGAAGCATCGCTAACAGGACAAAGGATGTGCACAAAATATATCGAATATGATTAAGAAAATATATTATATATAAATACAAGTTTCTATAAATATTAGGAATTTATTCACCCAAAAATCACACATCGATTGCACAAAATGTAATGAATGATATAGTTTTTATAATTTTAAAGAATTATGATCAATTAAATAGCTAAAATTATTGTTATTATAATCATATTTTACACGATTATAAGAGGTTTGCTTTGTCATTAAAATCAATTAACTATCTTTTTTAAAAAACAATTCTCTTAATGAGATGAAAAAAATAATGATTTTTTAAATTAAAGAGTTTGAAGAAAAAAATTGTAACATTTCCGATAAACAAGTAACTTGCATGTACATTTAGTATGAACTTTATTGAACATTGGTTATATTAATAGTAATTATATCACATCAGATCACATCACATCACACCTCACACTTATATATTAATGTAAAACATAGAGGATGTTAAGAGAGGTAGAGGTCGGCCTAAACTCACTTGGGAAGAGTCGGTTAAGAGAGACCTTAAAGATTGGAATATCTCCAAGGATTTAGTGGTGGATAGAAGCGCTTGGAGGCTCGCTATCAACGTGCCAGAACCGTGACTTTTGCTCCTTTTTTTTTTCTCTCTCTCTCTCTCTCTCTCTTTTTTTTTTTCCGATCTCTTCCTTTCGCTTCGAGTCTTTTGTGTTTCTCTTGGGTTTCATCTCTAGCCTACCCCGACTTGCTTGGGACTAAAGGCTATGTTGTTGTTGTTGTTGTTGTTGTATACTGAGCCTAAGTGGCAAGCTCGCATGCTTCGGGATCCTATGAGGCAAAATTACATGATTCGTTATTAGGTTTTAGTAGACTTTAATTTACTTCCAATCCAAAAATAATTAAGTCTGAATTATCCATAAATATGTTGATTATTTATGGTCATGTTACATGTATTAATTGTATTTTAATATCATTTCTTATTATACCCATTGAATTGTAAATGTATTTTAAAAATTAATAACTTTTATATTTCTTATCAGTCTTACATATATAATATATCTAATTATTCATCTCTTGATAAACTTCGACTTAACATCCATATAGTATGTATAAAAAAAATAAATTGTATTTATCTTTACTCAATTGCTATTCACCGCCCCCCTTTTACTAGTCACCGCCCATCCATTTACTCTTTTGCCCTTAACCCTTTTTCAGACTCTATCTCTCTAAACTTTCTATCTCTCTAAATCCCCGAACTTTCAACGAGCGATTCGAGCACCGAAAAAAATCCAAAAAAATGTCGAAAAAATCCTACGGCATCGGCAAATGACTCTTCTCTAATAAGGTAAACTTTTTTTTTTTTACGCCGAAAAAAGTTTTTAAATTTTTTTTTTTGAATCTGACCGGCCGTCCGGCCGTCGTTTCCGGACGGCCGAAAAACCGTCCGGTCGTCGGTTCCGGACGGCCAAAAAGTCGTCCGGAACCGCCGGCCGATCACGAGCCGGCCGGAAAGTTTTTAATTTTTTTATAATAATTATAATAATAAAAATAATTATAAATAATTCTAATTAAAATAATAATAATAATAATTATTATTATTATAATAACAATTATAAATTATAATAATAATTATATGTTATAATAATAATTATCAAATATTATAAATAATTCTAACTAAAATAATAATAATTATTATTATAATAAAAATTATAAATTATAATAATAATTATTAAATATTATAATAATAATAAGTTGAATAAATTGTAATTAATTATAAATTCTCAAAATAATATTAATAATTATAATTTTATGCTTATAATAATAATATTATAAGAAATAATAATAATAATTTGTAATGATAATTATAATTAAATATAATAATAATTATAAATTAGTATTAATTATAATAATTTATATAAAAAATTATAATAACTATTATAAATCTCAACAATTATAATTATAATAATAATTAATAAAATTTATATATTAAAATAAAAATGAATTATAATATATTTTAATAGTTATTAGAATAGTCATTACATATGGAAAAATTTAATAATTATATTTCTGACTCAGGGTGTTAGCAGACCTGGACAATCTAATGCCAGGGACGACGACGAGGTGTTCGATGACTATTATGATGGTTCTGGCACCCGACACACTAGAAGTCGGGGTGTCAATGCGTCTGTTCGTCGGGACAGACAGACGTTGATCGATGAGGCTCGGAGGGTACAAACTCTTCAGGCTAGGCAGAGTTCGAGACCCCCCGCACCAGCACGAGATGGTCCGCAGGGATACCATTTTGAGGGTCAGCCAGATAGTTTCTAGGGCACGTCGCCTCCCGCATGTGGAGTGGAGATTTGAGGGGGCCGCTGAAATGCCACAACAGACTGAGAGTGATCGAGAATCTGAAGGCTTGGCGTGAAGAGATGTCTTCCGATGCGAGAGCTCTTCTCGACCAGATCGTGCTGTCACATTTGGTCGACTCCATGCACACCCGCTTGGACACCCACTCCTTTCTGCTTTTGTGGAGCGATGGCAGACGGATACTAACTCGTTTCACCTGCCTTTTGGTGAAATGAGCATCATGCTGCACGACGTCCGGGCCATTTTTGGCGTTCCTGTGGAGGGAACCGTGGTCGCTGAGGACCCAGATTCGAACGCCTGCCATGGGTTCTGCATGTCGATACTTTCGGTCACCAAGGGCGAACTCATGAGTTCGTTCTGACAGCGTGGTTCGGTGTCCGAAGCCGCCATTTCGGGGGCATTCAGGGGAAAAGGCCGGTCGGCTAGGGATGAGGCGGGTGCCTGGATGTGGGTGATGCTGGCTATCACATTGTTCGTCGACAAGAGTGGTAGTAGAGTGCCCCCCAAGCTCCTGCACGAGGTGCTCGACGGCTTGGATTTGATTGGGGGTTACTCATGGGGATCGGCTACGCTGGCATACATGTACAGACAACTAGGTATTGCCAGCCGAGGGGACTCTGCCCAGATGTCGGGCTGCTTGACTCTTCTGCAGTCTTGGATATATGATTATTTTCCCGATTTTTGACCCTGGGGGCGTCTACCCATCGGTCCTGACTATCTCGCACGATCACGCTCGTGGAGCGTAGGGAATGCGCCACGGTCAGACGATCGGCTCACAGCCATCCGTCGGCGCCTCGACAGACTCACTGCCTCCGATGTACGTGAAGTTATTTTATTTAAATTTAGTTACCCGTTATTTAAAATAATATAATTATTTTTATAAATGTTCTTATGCAATTGTGAACAGGTGCAATGGTTGCCATACGGCAGCTCCAGCCCAGATGCGATAGAGCCGAGGACTCTTTATAGCGGATTGATTCGATACCGCGATGTCGTCGAGCCGTACTTGCCTGCGCGGTGTCTGCGTCAATTGGGGTATGTCCAGACTGTCTCTCCCCCTACATACCCGCCGATCAGTGCAGTACGTGCTTGGGAGTCTAGGAACTACAAGGTTGAGCATTCTGAGGCTACTGCAGTAGGTGCCTGGACCCAGTTCCCGATTTCTGGGACGGTCAACACCGGTATATTGACCCCCACCACACAGGATCGCGGGGAGGCGACTGAGGATTACCTGCAGTGGTACAGTCGGGTTTCCCATCCGACTCTCATGGGCGAGGAGCTGCTGGACGAGAACGAGGTCCCTACGCGTGTCAATACCGCCTATGTAAGTGTTAGAGTAGGGTACCCGGCGTTCCAATCTAATTGGACGTATTATACTTGTAAATACAGTCTATTGGAATTATATTATGAATAAGGCATTTCTTTATCTTAAGAGAAAACATTTATCTTATAATTGCACTTAAGATAA